CCTCTGAGCCCGGATGCACAGTGACTGCAGGCCCATGGTCTCAGGGGAAGCATAACTGTACCGCGGGGCGGCTCTGCTGCAGGTCCTGGGACTTTAACTGCACAGAGTTGTGTCAGGTATCCTTGTGTTGCTGCCCACCCAAAGGTGGCTCTCCTGCCTCTCTGGGTGCCCACCACCCTCTCATCCCCCCTCCCTATCTGAAATGGAAAGGTCTTCAGCCTCAGAGACCTGTCTTACTCAAAATCCCCTCTGGAATCTTTATTTTATGCTCTTTCCCAGAAGAATTCATCCTGTGCAAGAAGCAGGGTGAGCAGGATTATGTGGTAAAAACCTGCAGAATTCGCCTTGAAGACCCAGCAAGGCAGGGCCCTGTCTCTCCCAGCTAATCCAGGAGCTTGAGCTATCAGCTTTTTTCCTCTGGCCACTGCAACATTTGTTTGATTTTGTTTTTAGTTTTTCTGTCCACAAGCCTGTCTTATGGAAACAAAATGGTTTCTCAAGTGGGCTCTTGGAGGAACACTTGGCACATCGTTTCTCTCTGAAGAGCAGAGGGGAGGCCAATTAATTTTTGGAGCATCCTCATTAAGAGCTGTAATTCTACACTGCTAGTAAGTTACAGGACTCTACAGCTCCCTACTGACTGATTGGAGCCACCCTGCTTAACATGAAAAATAAATCAATCTTCCCTAGAGGATCCCCATTCCAATTTGTGTCCCCTGTGGAAAAGCATTCTGTCACTAAGGAATAGTCTCAAGGTTTATTTCAGCTTAGGGAGTTCTTCAGCCAAATTGGAGGAGTGCTAGATTTTAGCCAAATGTTCCTTCAGGTCAGTGACTTCTAGAAAAGAAAAATGAAAAGAGTAGCTCTCCCTAGTGCTCTCACTGTGGGGCCTTGTCATCAGTGAATCACTCCAGCTGGTCATGGTCATGGGAGGTTTGATGTCCCCAGCTGTGTAGATGGGCAAACTACTCTCTAGTAGTGCAGAGGAACGTGGCTTCTCAGAACAGCACCTTGGGTCAGTGGCAGAACTAAGATCCGAGATCACCCACTGCCCACACCCATACATCCTGTTTCACCAAGCTTCTCCCGCTCAAAGGCCTCGTTGCTTTCCTGGATGCTCCATGAACAACATGAGCAACACCAGAACCTTCATCTCTCCATCTGCAAAATGGGAACATAATCCTTGCCCTGTCTGTCTGACAGTTCTCTTGAACATATTTACACACTTGAAACCCAAACATGACAGAAACCTTACCAAAGAAATACAAGGTATTTTTTTTTCTTTCCTTCTTTTAAAATGTATTTATACTTCTTCATTTCTAATTGAATTTTTGTAATTTTCATGCTATATAATTTGATGATATTTAGATACCCTCCATCCACACTTCCCTTACTGCCCCTCTCAATCTTGTTCTCTATTATAGATATATAGGTATTATAAGTCACATATATACAAATATATAATAGACATATATAATATATATATTAAGTCCTGTAGTCTTAATTTGTGTCCCCAAATGTCCTTAAGTGTGGGTTAAGAGACTGACTCTGCCCCTCCCAGCTGCCATCATTGCCAATAGTTCCTTAGATAGGGTTAGGGTTTCTTATCTGCTTCCCCACAACTATGCTGGGATTTTTGTCTGGTTTGAATTTGCATGGGACTTATGTGTGCTGTCACCATTGCTATGAGTTCATATAAGTAACTGACCAGTGGTCTGGAAAACTGTTTCCTCGTGGTCATCCACCACTCTAGCTCTTACAATCTTTCTGCCCCCTCTTCTGCAATAATCCCTGAGCCTTCAGAGACAGAAGCTGTTTGATATAGTGTCACACTCAGAGGTAAGCACCTGCAGTCTCTAAATATAGGTCTTTTCATTCATATTTGTACCATCTTCGTTCATCAGAGGAACTCGAAAGGTGCTTTCAAGGGAGCTTCTAAGGCCGTGAGACAGACTTGAAAAGTCTATCTCTGATTTGCACTGCATCTTGCTAGAGAAAATCAACCTCAAAGTGTCAGGACCTGGTGATCAGAGGTCTCCTGCCCCCCAGCAAGACATCCTAAGCATGGGGAAAGAAATGCAGGTGTATGGGGCTGGAGAGATGGCTCAGCAGTTAAGAGCATTGGTTGTTATTGCAGAAGACCCAGGTTCAAATCCCAGCACCCACATGGTTGCTAACAACCATCCATAACTCCAGGGGATCCAACATCCTCTTCTGTCCTCCATGGGTACTGCAGGACATGGGTGCACTTACATATAGGAAGGCTTAACACTTATACACATAAAATAAATACAATTTTTAAATTTTTAAAAAAGAAATGCAAGTGTGAGCCTATGTGGATGCTCATCAGCACAGACACTTACCACGTGAATCTTTCACAGTTCAGTAGGAAACCCTACCCTAATGAGTCTTGCCACACAGCAAAATGATGCTAAAATTGATTAAGCTCCAAGCATGTTAAGATATCTCATGTTTTAAAATCTCCTAGAGACCCACTTCTCCAGTGAGGTAAGCCTTCAAAAGAAAAGCAGAACTATCTACCTCTCTATGTTCATGTATAAGAAACCATAGATTTAACCTGTACCTAAAATCATACATCTATTTTTGGAGACAGATAATATTAAAATACCACATTAGACAAACATATCAATTGCTTAGAGACACTCTAACTCACAGATGTTTAAATTAAAAGTTACAACTGAAGTATTGTAATTGAATGGGATAGTACAATTGAGGAGATATGTTATTTTAAATAGCCTTAACCAACTCTAGTTTCAGGATGACTATACACTGGGCTACTGACTTCCTTTTTAATATTTAAATTTTAGGAAAGGGATGAGAATGGAAGCTATTTCTTGGTTTTTCCAACTAGAAAATGAAAAATAAGCTTCATTTAAATTAGGTTGGGAGCAAAGAAAGAAAATGAGTTCTGAATTTTGACTTAGTTTTTTTACAACAGTATCAGCTGCATCTCTGTCATTAAGACATTATAGGACAGGGTAGAACATTAAATTGACATGTGAGAGACATTCACCCTCCAAGTAAATATCAATGCTATTTACTATGCCCCATGTCAAAAAATGTACCAAATTTTTGTTGATTCATGAGTTGGTACATAGTCTAAAGTCTTCAGAGATCATCAGCTTACACACCCAATAAGAGAGAAATGAGGACAACGGGCATCACACACCTTTAATCCCAGCCCTGGGGAGGTAGAGGCAGGTTGATCTAAATAGTGAGTTCCAGGCAGGCTAGGGAGACCCTGTCAAAAAAAAAGAAAAAGAAAGGAAGGAAGGAAGGAAGGAAGGAAGGAAGGAAGGAAGACTGTAAAAGATGTTAAAAGGATATGGGAATGGAGATATTTTCCAAAATACACAGGAAAAATGAGAAAGCCTAAGCAACTGATGAAGGTCCGTGTAAGTTTGTTATGTCAAGCCAATG